TGCACTTGATGCATTCTATCCACTTGCACCAGCATGATATGTAAACTGTCCCTTTAACTGTCCTGTAGCACCATCCAATTACAAGCATGATGCATACACTATCCTATTACTGCTCAAAGCAGGCTGGTGATAACCTATTCTGTTCAAGAATTTTGTTGTAGTTTTGATTTAAGATGCTATTGTCTGATTTTAGACACTATCATCCAATTTTAGGCATCATTGTCCAATTTTAGAGACTAGTGACCAATTTTGGACACTAGTGTCTGATTTAGACACTAGTTTCTGATTTTAGACACTAGCCTCTGGTTTCAGTCACTGCTGTTCAATTTTAGACACCAATGTCTGATTTGAGACATGAGTGCTCAATTTTGGACACAAGTGTTTGATATAGATTAATTTGGTGATATCAGCTAGGTTGAAATTGTAAATTGGTCACTGTAGCAAGTTAAAAAGATGACATTTCAAGTGTTAGCCCTTCACCTTTGCTCTGACGAAGGGCTAACACTCGAAATGTCAGCTTTTTAACTTGTTGTGGTGGCCAATTTACAATTTCAACCCAGTTGATATCACCAAATTACCTTGTCAAGTTACCCCCACCAGCACAGCACCACAGTTTCTTTTGGAACTTTCACCCTTTATTGTTTGATATAGATACTAGAGTCGTCTTTTAAGTAGAAGCTGTGTTTAATTTTAGAAACTAGTGTCCAACTTTAGACACTAGTGGCTGATTTAAGTGACTAGTGTCCAGTTTTGTCACTAGTGTCCAATTTAGTCTTAGTAACCATAAATATCAGACACTAATGTCTGATTTTAGGAAGTGGTGTCCTATTTTAAACATTTGTGTCCAATGTTAGAAAGAGTTTGACTATAGGCACTAGTGTCCATTCTAGTGTCAGATTATGGATAATAATGCTCGATTCTGGGAAATTATGTTCAAATTAGATATCTGTTTGCAATTTTAGACGCTTGCTCGATTTTATAAACTGCTGTGCAATTTTAGGCATAAGTGTCAGACTATAGACACAAGATTTCGAAATGCGGGAATTTTTTTCGTTATCATTTCTCGTAAAAATTTTTTTGGCCATAGCATGGATATCTTTTAGGGTTAATTGGCGTGCATGGATTTTTTTTTTCATCCAATTTTCCCTTTCGCGAATATTTTTTTTTTGTACTTCGCTCGCCCTCATCGCTTAAGTATTTTAATTGTCCGTCGTGTTTTAGTGACGAACACGAACCGGAAGCAAGGCCTTTTCTCTTTTTATATACCTTGATGATGCCACATTTGTATTGATAAGTGTCAATACTTTCATGGAGGCAGTCTGCTTGAAAATGTAGACAAAACCACCACGAACGTGGACGTGACGTTCAAGATCGCATTTGAACTCAAGTCAATTTATTTTAACAGAACTAGTTTGCCTTGATTTCGTAACAACGTCCACATCCGGTGTCACGCAATGCGATGACTCGTATTTTCTATTTGCCAAGAAAAAGAAGAAAGGTACCCTCGACTAGGAGCATGGACTGCGAAAAAGAAAAACAAAAAAAGGGACCCTCGACGAAATACCCTCGACCTCGACATAAGACCCTCGACCCTCCACCCTCGATGGCTCGACCAAAAGTTAGACTCGCCTGACTTGTTAGAAAATGTAACGCAAGGGTCTCCTACGTAGCAAATCTACGCAAAGGTCATCGCCAGGATGATCTCCCGCCATAATTTAATTTTGACCGGGAAATTTCATTTCGCAAACTACAGATTGTTTATTTCGCAAACTACAAATTTTCCATTTCGTTTCGCAAACTACAGATTTTTCATTTCGTTTCGTTTCGTTTCGCAAACTACAGTAAGCCAAAATTTTGCTCGTCGGTGCGAGTCAGAGCGAGTGCAAGTCACGTGCTGTATAGAATTTAGCTAGAATCAATCTTTTCGCCTGTATCGCCGATATCGAATGTCAGCCCATGCTTATCGCCGATGTGTGAGGGCGTTAAATCATGCTGCGCATAAAGACTTGGATGTAATTTTATGGACTGAAACTCAGTTGAGGTCAAGAGTTAATACTAAAGGTAAGCATCATGTTAGATAAATGTGATCTTTTTTTTATCTAGAAGGCTGTAAGGTTTTTACTGAATAGGACTAAGGCAAGGACTTCGGACAACTTATAGAGTTTATTATAAATGTGTTCATTCCAGGTTTTGGCTGGTTCATTGTTCGAACGAAATAAAGTGTACTAGCTTAGTCTTGATAATGCATTTGCTGGGTAAAATAACCCATTTTTAATGTTATGCTAATGCCGAAAAACTGAATTATGAAATGTTCTGAACGTAGTTTTCAACGTTTTTAGACCGAACACTTGGCAGCAGCTTTCTTGGTTAGATTCCATTACATGTAAGTGTATTAGTTTGTAATTATATTACGTTCCTGAACAACGTCATCTGTGTCCATCATACCGAAGCTGTATACTGCAAAGAGTAGTTATAAGTATTATATTAGTTCTGACTATTGGGGCAATTCGTTATAGTCAAGATTTTGCCATGCAGTGTGAAACAAACTGCGTTACTGAACAAATAACGCGTGGTACATGGAATGCAATTTAATGTAAATGTAATTTGAACTCTTGGTTTGGCCTAGGAATTCTATTAAAGTACCTTTATGAAGAGGAAATAGAGACAAGACAATTCATGGTCAGCAAATAAAACTGGAATTGTTATTCAGAGTTGGAAAATGTTGGTCGCCAAAGAAATCTTTTGAGCGATCAAGTTATTTATTTTCAAAAAAGAAAACAGCAATAGAATTGTTTGTTTTTATCCTAAGCATGAATCAAGAGATGCAACACAGCAACGCTACACCTCATTTTTAACTTGCAATTCCATGCTAAATACCTTGCTTTGTTAACCAATCAGAATGCGAGATTTTATTTCATTAAGTGATTCTAATGATTGTTTTTGTCTCAGATCCTCCAGGCCCTATAGACAACAGCAATATAATTGTGTTAAAGGGAAACACAAAAGTACTCAGAGCAAGTAAGTATTTGTGGGACAAGCTTCCATTCACTATCATAGTAAAAAATGGTTTTTTATTGAAGAAGTATTTTGAACAACATTTGCACAGTTGAAAAAAAAATAGGTTTGAGTCCTGTGTGCAGATGTAAACCCCAGACCTTTAGATTTCTCGGTTGGATGCCCTACTGACTTGCAAGCTAAATGTGTTCATGGGCTAGGTTGCTTTATACTTTTAGATACTCATTGCATCTTTTTAATTTGTCCTTTTCAGGCTCCGAATATGGGCAGCTGTCACGAGAGACATGGACATTTTTACATGATATTTATGATGGAGGTCCTGTGTTCTTTTATGAGGAAGAAAAAGATAATGAAGAAGAAAAACAAGACCCTCGGGATGAGGAGGAAGACATACAACAAGAATAAAACAGTTGATGGGTAATTTTAAAAACAATTCTCAAGTACAAAATTAATTAATTTCTCCTTACACAGTCACCCCGGAATCAAACATTGAGGTCACGAGAATAAAGGAAATGATCTTGATCTAAATTCTCCTTGTCAGCACATTAGGGAAATGTATAGAGAATAGTATGGAGAATATGCATACCGATGTTTGGGTGTAAAGGGTGAAAGCTTCCTTTTTCTGGCATAACCAATTAATTGCCAACAAGAGTTCTTCAATTGCCAACAGTGTTCTTCTTCCAGTGAAACTAAGTGATTTCATCTGCTCAACTTTTATTTTTTCTTTTTTTTTAACTCTGACTGAAAGGTTATTTACAGTTGAATAAACAGTAGCCTCCATTTAACTTGAATTATATTTGTTCACAGACATAATCCAAATAATATCCAAGGACCAAAGTAGTACATTTTTGCATGCCAAATGAAGGCTAATGTGCTTTATTATCCTTCAAATATTTTGTAACATGAGGGATGCAGCATTTGCTGCATGGGGTTTTTACTTTTCAGTGTTCTCTGGTACAACTTTATGACCCTTCAGTTACAACCACAAAATGTTCCCTCCTCTTGAATTAAATTTTGAGCAAAGACCTATTGCAGTGGATATAAGGTTTGAAAATTGGTGAACATCTCTTGGGGTACATCCTTGAATATTTCTCAGTTTTAGCTGGGGAATGTTGAATCATGTGATGTATTTAGACCAATAGCATGCAAGAAAAAAATTGGGGAGGGTAAGATTGAGATTATTCATACATAGTATGTGAGTGATATTCAGTATTCTATTCTAACCAGCGTTGTTTTTTTTTTATGTTAGGTCCTGTATGCATTGACTGCCAGGCATTAAAGACTTTTGGAATGCAAAATCCTTTGAGATTTTTATTCTCTGCCAGCCTATATTAACTCAGACTATGTCCTGTTGTTATGAATAGTGTCCCTAGCCTGTTATTTTGTCCCTATGATTAGCCAGTACATTGAATTTACCCAAACAACATAGTTTCAACCAGCATCAGATTATTTTCTAATGATCCAAAAGTATTCCTAATACCCTTATACCTAATACCCTATTCACACCAAAGCTAAAACATGTTTTAAAGCTGTTTTGTTAAACAAGGTTTCAAATTATTTTCTTCTTAAATTTTCAATTTAGGACATTGATTAAAAACACAGTCAGTGATTCATTGAAACCTTGGAAAATTAACTTGAACAGCTCTCTTTTTCCGATTTTCATTCACTTAAACCCTTTTTAAATAAACATATTTTGGTGGTGTGAGTGGGGTATCAGTCATCTATTCAGTGGTGTGAGTGGGGTATCAGTCATCCATTGATTAAGTTCCATTCAGTTCCTGAATGGAACTTAATCAAACAGAGTTAATGAAGGAGAGACTGCTCATTAAAGAAAGTTCAATAACCATTTAATTAATGTTTGATTAAGCTTGAGCAAGAGAGGAACTATGTGAACTACAGACTAATTATCCGACAAAGCTGAATTTCTAAGTAGGGCTGAGTAATAAGGATGTATTGTGAAAAAAAATTTGATGCAGCAGATTTGTATTTGAAAAAGTCATCAATGAAGGTAAAAGAAATTAGAAGCAAGTAAAAAATGTTAAAAGATTTTATTCAAAATGGAATACACAACTTGCATTTAAATTCACTCATACTAAAATTATCTTTTGTTGTGTCTGTCTAAGGGCACCTTTGAGATTCCCATTCACATTTTTCATAAATGTCATGAATTTTCATAAATATTTGTCTTAAGATAAAAGTGCCAGTTAAGACTTTTCACTGATATGACGATATGCCCTTTACATTCATTGAGGCATCTTCTGGAAATTCTTGAGCAATTAGAAGGGGTGGTTTGAAAGGCTGTCTTCCTATTTTCCTTTGTGCAACATATTCTATGGAAAATGTGATGAAAGGGTGTTGAATTTGGTTCTGTTTTTCAGCCATCAAACCAAAAGACACAGAAATAACATGCTATAATATGCACTCCCTACCAACCTCTCAACAGGCTGCCTCTCTCCAGTTAAACACTCTGAAACAAAGAGAGCATGGCAGAATGACATTGTTGATCAGTAATGATGGGATGCAAATGTTCACTACAGTATAAATGGTATTAATTTTTGCCAGGTATCATTTTGGGTGCACCTACAAAAAAGTGTATTTGAAAGTCTGTTACAGTCTCTGTCACAGTTTAATAATTTATAACTGAAAACCAGTTCAGAAGAAAAAGAATGTGGATGCCACTGAGTTTTTTATAAGATGCTTACTTCTCTAATGAGCCCCCATCTTCTGAAATTTAATGGCTTGTAAGCTTCCCAAGATAAAATGTTTTAAGTAGGGTTAGTTGATGACGTTGGTACCAAATATAAATCTCCCTTTTCACCCCTCCCTTACAAAGTAAAATTAGAATCAGTTGGCAAACTATGAAGAATGAAAGAATTGATAATAATTATTCATACACTGACTGACAGGTTNTGGTTTGGAAACCGATATCGAATGTCAGCCCATGCTTATCGCCGATGTGTGAGGACGTAAAATCATGCAGCGCATAAAGACTTGGATGTAATTTTATGGACTGAAACTCAGTTGAGGTCAAGAGTTAATACTAAAGGTAAGCATCATGTTAGATAAATGTGATCTTTTTTTTATCTAGAAGGCTGTAAGGTTTTTACTGAATAGGACTAAGGCAAGGACTTCGGACAACTTATAGAGTTTATTATAAATGTGTTCATTCCAGGTTTTGGCTGGTTCATTGTTCGAACGAAATAAAGTGTATTAGCTTAGTCTTGATAATGCATTTGCTGGGTAAAATAACCCATTTTTAATGTTATGCTAATGCCGAAAAACTGAATTATGAAATGTTCTGAACGTAGTTTTCAACGTTTTTAGACCGAACACTTGGCAGCAGCTTTCTTGGTTAGATTCCATTACATGTAAGTGTATTAGTTTGTAATTATATTACGTTCCTGAACAACGTCATCTGTGTCCATCATACCGAAGCTGTATACTGCAAAGAGTAGTTATAAGTATTATATTAGTTCTGACTATTGGGGCAATTCGTTATAGTCAAGATTTTGCCATGCAGTGTGAAACAAACTGCGTTACTGAACAAATAACGCGTGGTACATGGAATGCAATTTAATGTAAATGTAATTTGAACTCTTGGTTTGGCCTAGGAATTCTATTAAAGTACCTTTATGAAGAGGAAATAGAGACAAGACAATTCATGGTCAGCAAATAAAACTGGAATTGTTATTCAGAGTTGGAAAATGTTGGTCGCCAAAGAAATCTTTTGAGCGATCAAGTTATTTATTTTCAAGAAAGAAAACAAGGAATTGGATGCTGTTCACTGATGATGGAAATTCCATTTACAGTGTACTGCTTGAATTTAAGTTTGGATTAAACCTATTAACTCCCATGAGTGATTAAGAGAGAATTTCTCCTTACAATGTCCATAAAATATCAAGCAGACAGGTTATGACAAGAAGGAAAAAAAAGAAAATCAGGGGATTATCAGTTGAACCACATGGGCCCTTATAATGTGTGTGTGTGTAGCCGACTGTTGTTTTATAGTGAATGCACCAGATTTACCGTTTACCTCACTTGTAGTGATATATTGCTGACTATGTACATAAGTCATTTATAAATAAATGTTGAATTACTTTACCTGTGATGTATAGTTGTCCTTTTGCCTCCAAAATGTTTTTTTGGGCGATTTTGCGCAAGTCTGAGTTCGCTGTTAATGTAATGCATAAAAGAAAGACGAGGGTGGGAGCCTTGTTTTGAAAGGGTTCAAGCACCCAAGCGATTTTCCCCCCGAAAATGGCATCGCTCCGCTTTCAAACTTAACAGCGTTAAGGTCAAAAGATGCACAATTCTCCTCGTACCTTCCAATCGAAAATCCATCCAAACAGACCGGAGCTAGCCCTCGAAGAAAATCAAAATCCCACAGTATTTGAGCGCCTGGGATTCATAGCAAGATTCTCATGTGCCAGCCAGAAACCATCACATCTGGTTGATCAATTCAAAATAATGTCGTCTAATTAAAAATACCTTCATCTAATCAGAAAAGGGCAATCAGCGTGACGGTTTCAGGCTGGCACATGAGAATCTTGCTACAAATCCCAGGCACTCAAAAACTGTGGGATTTTGATTGTCTTCAAGGGCTAGCTCCGGTGTGTTTGGATGGATTTTTGATTGGAAGATACAAAGAGAATTGTGCATCTTTTGACCTTAATGCTGTGAAGTTTGAAAGTGGAGCGATGTGATTTTTGGGAGGAAAATTGCTCAGGCGCTTGAACCCTTTCTAAACAAGGCTTCCACCCTTGTCTTTCTTTTAGGCATTACATTATTGACGAACTCAGACTTATTCAAAATCGCTCAAAAAAATATTTTTAGGGGCAAAAGGACAACTATACACCACAGGTAAAGTAATTCAACGTTTATTTATAAATGATTTATGTACATAAACAGCAATATATCACTATAAGTGAGGCAAACGGTAAATCTGGTACATTCACCATAGAACAACAGTCGGCTACACACACAGATTGTATGGGCCCCCTGTAGTTGAACCAATACCAAATTCTCAAATTAATTATCATGAGAATTGTTTTCTAGACACTTAGGAGAATTACTAATGAGATCTTGGGAGTGAAAAGGTTATGAATCTCAACGATGGGAAGTTAGAACTTTGCAATTTTTACATCTGATGATGAATTTCAGTTATCAGCTTGGGTTCCTGATTTCTTTGTGTTTCATTTGTTTTACATTTAGAGCAAGAGGGAGTATATTTGTAATCTATACTTAGTAATTATTTTGGGTTTGAGTATTTAGAAAATTAAGATAAGACTCTTGTTTTTCTCCAATCAATGATATGACAAGTTTATCACACATTTGAAAAATTTGAAGAATCAAATGAAACAAAGGAATGTGTGAAGCCTTCAGAATTTACAAAGCATTGTAAAAATTTAGGATGAAAAATTAACATTTTAGCACTGTTTAGGAGATCATGTTAAATATCCTGATAAACAGGTTATTTAACATGATCAAATTCATTTGTTTGGGAAGTCATTTTGTTGTCAACCTGAAATGCAAAAATTAGTATTCCAGGTCAACAATGATGGTATACCTGTCCAGTAATCCATAATCTAGTCTAAATCATTATAAAGCAAAATAAAGTAGGAGTTCTCACTTACTTCTATTTTCTGAATAGCAGTACAGTTCATCAAAGATTATGTGAGAAGTTAAATTCCAAGTAGAAAAAAAATGGTATCCATACTTTTACTTTTGGCCATAAATAACAGTTTTGACAACTGTGTTTTTTGGCTTTAATTCTAGTGGTAAGAGATGAATTAGAGGGGACTAAAAACATCAGCTAAGTCTGGCAAATTAATCATAAATTTTATCTTAAGATTACCACAGAGCCTCGTACTATTCTAAAAGAAAGCTGTGGTACCAAAGGCATGTTTTTGACATTAACTTTATCCTTAATAAAATATGGGGCTATGCAGAAGTCTTACCACTTCTACTGTCACAAGTAACTGGTTTGGAAACTGAATAATGGTCAAAGTTATATGACTTTTTGCCAAAAACAGTTAACTTCTGCAATGCTTTAAAATATTATTCAGGAATAAGAATAAGTGACAAATAATTCCATGGGAATATGTGACAAAAATTTCCATATGAAAAAATGTGCTAATTACAAGTGAATCTTCCAAGAAAAAACTTTAGTGTGAATGGGGTTCAAAGTGTACTGAACGGAACTGAAGCCCTAAGTCGTAAATTTTTGGATTAATTTCAATTTAGCTTTAGATGGATAAGATAAAATCTTGGTATTTATTTTGTTCTCATGTTATTTATAGGAAAATTCAATTTGAAGTAGTGTATCCAAACTCAGCCTGAAGCTGAGCTTAATTATTTCTATGAGGTTGGAATAACAGCAAAAAACAATTCAATTTTAAACTTCAGT